TTTACAGGGAATTGAACCCAGAACATCCTTCATATATGTTAAGCAAGTGCTCTGCCCTGTGCTGTATCAACCTTTCCTTTCCTTTTATTTTGAAACAGTGTCACTAAATCAGCAGGGCAGGCCCTGAACTTTTGATCTCCTTCCTAAGCCTCTCCTCCCAAGCAGCAGGATTAGGAGACCACATCACTAGGCCCCACTTCCTGTAGGCTTATCTTTGAAAAGTCCGTTTCTATGAGGATCCCCTATTATCTCTCAAATCGGCTTGTTTGCCCCCCCCCCCCCCCCCCCCCCCCGCACATCATGCTTGCAGAGCAGGGGAGAGTGAAGTGGGAAGAACAGTTTAAGATTCTACTAACACACATGCCATAAATGTAAATGCCAAACTTGGGAGACACAGGTATAGTTTCAAATTTTGATTAGAGTTAAACGGTTTTTGTTTTTCTTGTAGTCTTCACGGTGCTCTCTGTTAAGTCCACCCTTTTCCTTAGCACGATGCCTTTCAAGGGTGCTGGTGTGCGGCAGGGTGTTCAGTTCCAGAGGGCACTCTGCACCATTTCAACTTCGTCCTTCCACGCCTGCGCATCTGGGCCCGGAGCTAGAGTATAGTACCCGCTAATCCAGTCACTAACTAACCATGCCAGATCGTTTGTGCTGTTTATTTCTCTGTACTAAAATTAGGACAGTCCAGGCACTTTGTGTGACTGTTCACATTACAACCTAGCCACCTATCAAAAGCCAGAGGAGAGTGGTGCATGCCTTTAATCACAGCCCTCCGGAGCCAGAGCCAGGCGGATCTCTGTGAGTTCGAGGCCACCCTGGTCTACAGAGAGAGCTCCAGGACAGGCACCAAAACTACACAGAGAAACCCTGTCTCAAAAAAACAAAAACAAACAAAAGCCAGAGGAGACTCAGATAGTCACGCTCTAGTTTCTAGCTTATTTTCATTTTCAGTACCTTGTTATTTCCCCATTTTAAATGGATGCCTCAGTAAAACCATATTATAAATATGGCTAGCTGGCTATTTTTTATACACCCTTGTCCCGCTAATGAAAATTTCAAGTCTATCATTTTGCCGGCTTAAAAAAAATGTTTAAATATTTTATTTTTATATTTATTTATTTTTGTTTAAATACTTTTTATCTGCACAAAAGGCAAGTTTGAGGATTAAAAAAAAACAAAAAATGATAGTCTCCATGCTACAGCTCGGCTTTGCTGTGGGGAGGCCCTGGTTCTCTACCCGGAATGTTCTAGAACTCTCTGGGTGGGCCTAGCCTGTTTCTGTAAGGCCTGTAGGGGAAACGCTCCGTTACAACGTCAGCTCCCCGCAGGAAGAAATGTCCTCACGGGTTCACTGCTGTGCCTGTGGTACCTGGTAGTCCAGGCACTCGGTTTATCTCAAAGGGGAAGAAAGGGCGGGAAAAAGGGAAAGGCGCGGCCGCCACCTCCACACGTGGCGAGGGCGTCAAGGCCCGGCCGGGCGACGCCGGGACTGGCTCACAGGAGCCGAGCTGAGCTGTGCGGAGGCGGACCCCATGCACTCTGCACTCGAGGCGCCCTTTTGAGGCCGTCTCCTAAACAAACGTTTTCGGAACACAACTCCGACGGCCACCCCGCACAGGGCACACTTCGGGGGAGCTTCGTACACGTGCGGGGGGCCGGGAGGCCGTCCGGCCCTGCGTCGGCTAGGATGCGAGGATGCGGCGCAAGGC